AACCAAGTTTATTTTATCTTTATCTATATATATATATATATATATATATATATATATATATATATATATATATATAGGAAGACAACTGACCCGCAGTGTATACTGTACGTTCATCGTCTGTATTATTCTAAACAAAGAACACTGATATCCCCGTTTTATCAGTTCTGGATTCCCCGATTCCCGGATTACCCGATTCCCGGATTACACGATTGCCGGATTCCCCATTCACTGTTTTAAAGATAGCCGATAATTTTCTGTTATATAGGCTACATTAAAATAAAATTGCACACATGTGTTGTACGATATTTTTAATTCGACTTAGTGGGAATAAATAATCCTGATTGTTGACAAGTCACCTATAGAGCAAATTAATTCTGTCAATTTATGATAATAAATTTGAGTAGCGATTTTTCGCTACACTACTATACGCTGAGAATAATAATCCATCAGCCATCAAAAATTTGCCAGTTAGTTCGATCTTGATCTCCATCCTAATTCCATACGCACGATTGTCAAGCAGAATGCACTCTTTGTTCGACCAGATTTTGGCGCAATTTGAACTTTGCGCGGCATCGTCTGCTAACATCATTAGGAATTAATGATGACAACCATGTTTGTATGTTAGCTCAGTTAGTAATTTGCTACATCATATATCTATGGGGTTAAATTTCATGCACGTATAAATTATTTCGCTATAAAATCATTATTCATGTCACCACTCTTCCAACCTTGACTAATAACGCTGTGGTAACCAACACTTTCAAGATAGTTTATTGTAGGCCTACGATCATCCATATTAAATTTTTTTAATAATTTCTGACGTTTCGGCTACCTACACGGCAGCCATTATCAAAGACGTATTATAATTACAAAAAAATTTACAGTTATAATAATTTTATCTCGCGTCAAAAATGACGTGCGCGTGTTAGTGATGTTGTTTGCTCGCGCCTGCGTTCAAGGCATGAGAGCCTGCGTTCATGCGCGATTAGTCCAGCGTATGCTCCTGGCATATCGCGGCAAATGTTGATGCTGTTTTCATCGCATTTTGTAAACCAACTTTCCAAGAACATTCTCTCATCCTCAAAACCATTAAACTCCATACAAGTGGCTCCCTTCCAATCAATTCTATGATTTGCTTCCATATGATGAACCGCAATTCTATTCGCCACGTCTTGTTTCTCTGTTGATCGCTTATGTTCTTTAATGCGACAATCTAGAGTACGTCCAGTTTCACCGAAATAAGTTGCGGGGCATTCAGCGCAGGTCATTTTGTATACTGTTCCTATCTGAGTCTTTGTATTGGTTGGATCGTTCACTTTCGTTAAGGTATTTCTTAGCGTTACCGTTGGTTTGTGAGCCACACTGATGTTGAAAGGTCGTAGGATTCTTGCAATTATTTCGGATGTACCTTTGATGTAAGGGATTGTGGCAATGGAAAACTAAATTAATGGAAAAACCCTGATTCAAGCCCTTCAGTGAACTTGCAAGATAGTTGAATTTATAGGCGTGCGGGTTGTCATGCGTAGTCGTAGTCGTTAAATCAGCTTGGGAACGTTCTATTAAACGTGCAATAGTACAAGACATTGTAATTTCCTGCAGTGCTGTTCGTATGGAATTAAAACCCCCATACCATTACGAATAACCATCAAACATTACCTAGTCAATGTTTTTACCGATGCCAGAAACAACTACTCATTGTCTTCCCATTAATGATAATAATAAAAGTGTTCATTAAAACGCATTATACAGAAGCTTCAATGCTTTTTACAACAAGAATATAAAAACAGTTAATCGTGGAGCCTTCTGCTAAAGATTTGGTTGGTGATATATAGTATGTATGCAAGATTTCCGTTTCTGATTCAGTCGACGCCTCCGTTTCTACGACTCAGTTATCTAACATTCCAAGTTCTATCAGTTAATTATCCTCATTTAGTTTCACAGAAACCTCCACTACCATCCCACGATGAGTTGGGGAAGCGGCAACGCAAACCGGACTACAATACCAATCAATCTGCTAGACAAGCGAAGCTCGATATGTCTTATTTAGACTTCGAATGTGAGAATGTTCGTCTGTGTCTTGAAAAGCCTTGCACAGGGCAGCAAGTTTTTGCCCAAAATATCGAGTCTCGCTCATCAGGGCAACTGGAACGGTACTGCAAAACGTTTACTTGTTGCTATCCTCTCTTTTTGGAGGAAGAGGACGAGCTTCGGAAATGGGCGGTTACGGTCAATACCACAAAGCCCATCTAGATGTAATGGACCTAATCTCTGGGAGCTTACAAACGCCTCCCTAAGCCAAAGTAGGTACCGGATAAAAATGTTGAACCGGATTATCAGTCTTTTGACCATCTGCATGTATCGAAATATATGACCACGGCTCGGAAAATTTCGTGGTTTCAAGCCCGTTCAAAGTTGGGTCCGATTCTGAAGATGCAGAAGCCTGTTTATGAATTTCTCCCCCTGGATTTCTCCTGCTATGCCTTTGCCTCGCTGGTTTATAAAGACCGAAGGAAACTGCTCCTTACTTAATTTGATAAGAATGCGGGAACCTATTTCTTAATATTAAATGTAGAATACTTATTTTAATATAGACATCCTTTTACCCGTTACATAATTCTAATTATTGGACAATTAATCTAGCAAGCTAGATTTAGCCAGATAGTTATGGACAATTGACATGTTCCAGTAATTATACCTAAAGTTATCCTGGACTAATTGTGGCCTATTTTCAATGCACTTTGTAAATAGTTATGTGAAGTAGTGAACGGTAATAAGTGACGGCGAAAGACCTTTTGAGAAGGATAAGCACTCGCAAGAAAGGATCGTCTGAGTCTTAACCAATTGAAAACAGAAAGTTATCGTCACGGATTGTAAACGCTGATGACATCGGAGAAACCAGCATGAAAAGTCGTTATCCCGAGGGGGATACAAATCGCATCTCGAGTTCTAGACCGCCGCTATAACCATGAACCCAGCTGTTGACGTCATGAGTGGAGTTCTACTGCTCCAGTCAACCTATAAAATCTGCCAAAAATGGCATAACGTGGTGACATCAGGGGTGGTGCTTGGTGCAGCACCCGGCCTAGATCCCCTAGTATGTGTACTACTCACTTCTGTGACAATGAGACGGGGAAGAATTCGACAATGTACAGGGAAACATGCCCCCCCCCCCGGCTACTCGCAGTTTGACGTCGTACAGTGTCCATGCACTTTTGTTTTGCTTGCTACGTCACTGCATCTGGCCAAACATTTATTGCCGTCTCTAAACATCAACATATACGTATGTGCTGTTTATCTTTTAATTACCTTCAGGTTGCATAGATCTATCTGTGACGACAATTCTTTTCCAAGCGGGTATCGTAACTCGAACTTTACGAGATATGGTCCAGTTTGTCGCATTCATTTTACATATGGCAGGTGAATGTCGTTCACGGAAGTACAGAGTATTTTCAATAATCCCCAATACGAATGAATAAATTGAAGCATCACTAATGATTTTAATCTTGTTTCCACCATCATAATCCATTGAATTCATGTTGCCCGATCCGAAGATCAAGTACACTCGCCTCTTAAGACAATCAAGAGTTAAAGTTGCATACCATGAGTTTTGTCTCGTAGCCGTGCTGATTGTTTTTTCCTCCATGCTAACAAAGTGTCTTCGCTGCAAAGACCATACTTGAGTAGTCCAAAATAGGTACCTACATAGAAGAACATACTTAATCAAGCTTCCTCAAGACTGCCGCTACCGTACTTGCAAACGCTTCTTAAAGCGGCCACCTACACTTTTTATAGAATGGAAGATTTTCTGATTTGGAAATGAATTTCTAGACAATAATTATTTGTTGAAAAGAAAAGAGTATCTGACTTGAACAAAACTATTACTAAGAAGTACGGAGTTTTAGCAATTTACTCCTAAAAGCCGTTGCGATGGCAACAATGATGTTTTAATACGGTGGATATTTTTGGTTTAAAGTAACTTAATTCGATAATAAGGTCGCTGACCACCATTATTATTTTATAACAAAGTTTCTTTTGTATGTTCAATCATTTTCGTAATTTAAAAAAAATCTGCGATGTCAAAATTTTATATGATTGCGAAATGTAATAATTCGTTACAATTTTTTTTTGCATGACAGAATTTTAAAATCATAACAATGACTCAGAATACTAAACGAAATCTTTCATAAAATAAACAGACCTTAGTTTCTAGTTAAATAACTTAAAACACGAAGTATCGGCCATATTGAAGCGTTATTGTTGCAAATAGTAACGGCAGTTGCGATTCCATTATTTGAAAAAATTCAATTTTATAGTTATTATATCGGACCTTCTTTGTCTTTTACACTGTAAAAACTGATAGGTTAAAATAACCAAAAAAATAGGTTATTTCAGTTGGTCTAGGACAACCGGTTTAAAATAGGTTATTTAAATAGGTAGAAATAACTAAAACTAAATGGGTTAAAACAAACCATTTCTAGTGGATTATTTTAACCTGTAATATAGTTAATTTGTACCTATTTAAAATATGTTATTAGATCATTTATTTTTAGGTTAAAACAACCTAAATTTAAACAGTTAAATCTACTCAGAGATATAGGTTGTTTTTGCCAAATAAATATAGGTTGTTTTTACCTATAAATATTTGGTCATTTTAACCAATAATATTTGGTCAATTTAACCAATAAGTTTTGGTTAATACAAATATAACCTATTCTTTATGGTTGAAATAACCCATAAATAATGGTAAAGGCCATGAGTCTAAACCAGCCCATTAAAATAGGCTACCTGCGGTTGATCTAACCTAAAAAAATAGGTTAAACTCAAATAGGTTAAAATCAAATAGGTTAAAATCAATATTTGACTCAAATTAGTAAATATTAAAACAATTTCAGTACTTTGATAAAAATCATGTATTTTTCTTAAGGATGCATACGTCTTATATATATAATATATAATTAAAATAATCTACGCGATAATTGAGTTCCAGTGTGCGACAATTGCAAAACAGTAAAGTGGAAGTGGAGCAGAGTTTGATGGCATGCGGTCACCATATTATATTGTGAAAGTAAAAAGCTCTTCATATATAGAAGAAACAATGGTTATTTCACACAATTCATTAGGTTGTAAGCTATATATAGTTTAGAGTTATACTAAATAGAAACATTCACAGAAATAGCCCATGATTGTGAGGGTCATAACTCTCCTCGGGACAATATATCCTGCATGTACAATACATGTATTAAATTAGTGATACAATATTATCATAAATTTCATTAGCATAAATTGTTCCATTTAATGTGTTGATAAAATCCTTTAGCTTAGGAAGTTCTCCACGTCAATTGGTAAAGTACTGGTATGGCAATTATTGGCCAAAAGAACATGTTCTAAATTACTAAAACATGTAGATGTTCTTACTATGACCTGTTGGCCCCTTTTGGGTACTGCATGTTAAAACGTAGTACCCTGCAAGCAAACGTGCCACTGCGTTGGTAATATTGCACGGATCGTATCTGAATTTTTTTACAACCATTCCCTCTGCAATCAATGAAATCGAACTTATCTCTTCCAGAGGTCCAGTGGCCAATAGACGAGGGGTTGAGCATCCTGATATTTTCGGAGCAATTTCAGAATCATCCTGCAACAAGGAAATATATAACTGATTGAAATAAGCATTTCATGCACAACTTACACTTTTGTCTAAATATTGCACTTCTTCTCCTGTAGTTACACTACAAAAATATACATCACTTCATAATTTCTATCTAGATTATTTTTGTGTGTTTTGGCGTTATGTACTCAGTGAATATTATGTTTGTGATATTATTCTGAATGTGAATCCTCACCGGGCAAGCTGAAAAGTTAGCTTGGCCACGGTGGGAATCGAACCCGAGACCTTTGGGATACTAGTCCAATGCTCTGCCAACTGAGCTATGTTCCAAGTCGGTTCGAGTTGATGATATTTCGGAACTGAGTCTAGTTCCTTCTATATCAGTGTATTCTATATGTCTGATTATTTTTTGTGATACTGAGTGCATCACCTGAGTACATAACATCAAGTACATAACACCAACACACATAAAAAATAATCATATAGAATACACTGATATAAAAGGAACTAGACTCAGTTCCGAAATATCATCAACTCGAACCGACTTGACCATGTAGCTTATTTGGCAGAGCATTGGACTAGTATCCCAAAGATCGCAGGTTCAATTCCCACCGTGGCCAAGCTAACTTTTCAGCTTGCCCTGAGTGGATTCACACTCAGAGTAACATCACAAAAATTCTATCTGGATGTTATAAAATATACAAAATTCACTTACAAGAACAACTTTAATTAAAGGAATGTTCTCCTCAGGAATGCTCCTTCTCCTCCGGTTTTGTAATTCTACAAAAAGATCAAACATAGAATAAATTTCTATACAGATTAAAATACACATATATAGTTAAGTTCTAATTCTATAATACACATATAGATTAAGGTTTTATATAGATTAAGTATCTTAATAAAGGTTAATGGTTTAATCCATGTACGGATACTAAACAATTCTTTCTTCAAAAACTGTAATCACTGTAATCAATCTGGTATTAGTTTATTAGACATAGTGAAATAATCTTGCGTTAGACAGAGTAGCATAATCATTAAAATAGGGTGCATCAGGGCACGATGCAACTCGAAGGGTTAACTAGACACATGGCCGGATAGGATAGTTATACCCATTAACGAGTAAAATAGTCTGGTGTTAGACAAAGTAAAATAATACAGTAGGGCACAATTCAACTCAATGGGTTAACACAGTCGAATAAGAACACAGTCACATCACTATATTGTAATGGCAGAGAAATATAAACACACTATTATAAAGTTGTGCACAATGACTTACAATGTGAAGTAGCTGAAGCCCATAAATTGAACCAGTTCTTGCTGTACGGTATCTCTCAGGGTCTGTGTACACAATGCCATATTTTCCTTGAACATGTCTTGCTGTGCCAATTTGTAATTTTCTGTGGTGAGTAATTGGCTACAAAATAAAAATTGGGATTATTCTACAGTCCAAGTTAATTTGTAGACAATCCTACTATTACACAAAAACCTTAAATAGGTTAACTCATTATTTTTAAGTTATACAGTTTATACACTAGTCTTTTTTAAATTTTCTTCTCAGTCACAACGAGGGCTACCTTTGAGAAATACCTGGTATAAAACAATTGGTCACAATTGGACACCTTGTCATTTCTAGGGCTGCACGGGGCACAAGATAGAACCTTTTGCTATTCGGCTAGATGTCAGTATGTCAGATATGTTGGACGATATCAGGCCAAATAACTGATACGGTTGATATAAGATTTATACTTTCATTTAAGATAAATAATTATTTTAATTGGTTATAAAATGAGGGTGTTTATAATACTTTGATTTGAAAAGATACTTGAAATCATACGAAAGAACTTCACTCTAAACATCGTATTGCCAAAGCCTCGCTCACAAAGTTGAAAGGACAAATCAGGTATCTGCCAATATACTGGAAAGTAAGATTATCTCAATGCCTGGTCCGGACATGATACATATTTCATTTCAAACCTTTGTCCAAGCACAGGTACATTTTGGAAGAATGCCATATTATCAGTGCCATGAAACATTTTCGGAGGAAAAATATGTAAATATCTCTTATATATAGCAATATATATATAGTAAATATCTCTTATATATAGTAAATATCTCTTATATATAGCAAGACAAGTGCTCTGAGCTGAGCTTTACATGGTATCCCGAAAAAACTCCGAAAGTATTGAAACAATGTACCATATTGTTAGAATTTGAACGTCCTACACGACTAAAAACGCACAGGTTGTTCCAAGTTGATATCGACAGGCGTGAACAATGTTGTGCGGCCAACTATGAACAAGTTGTCAACCATGTTGTTCCAAGTTGTTACAGTTGTACAATGCTGTAACAACATGTTGACAATACTGTTCATAGTTGGCCGCACAACCTTGTTCACACCTGCTGGTATCAACCTGGAACAAGTTGTTGATTTTCTCAATTTTTACGTGTGTAGTACTAAGCTGAATGCAAAAATACTGACAGTGTGCACACTGCATACAGTATATTATGAATATTGACTAATTAAGAAATTAAAATATCTTTGTAAAGTGCACAATTTTCTCTTAGGGGCCAAGTCACAATATTCATGTTGCCAAAAATAACATTGAATCAATGTTATCACTTCATCCATGGCACCCACCCACTACAGATAATGTTGATCGATATTCAGTCGTATTTTGACTTCCGATTTGACGTTATTGGTGGCAACATGAATATGGACGTGACCCCTATACGGCTGATTACATGGAGAGTTTACCAGGGCTAAGTTTCAGCCTGGCCCAAGGATAAAATCCTATTAAAACATAGTAAGTGGTTATTACATGATTATTCAGCCACGTTCGAGCTGCCCAGGCTGAAATTTCAGCCCGGCAGCATGTAATCACAAATAATTCCAGCCAGGGCTAAAAAACCAACTGTTTAAATGGCTTCATTTTTAAATATACTACACATGTAACCACAGTCTCACAAAAGTCAAATAGTCAACTAATCAGCATCTTAAGTGCCTGTCTCACTAATTGAAAATTAGAAAACTTGAA